GGTGCAGAGAGAATTCGATAGTAATACTAAAATTAATTGTGATACAGAGTGTTTAAAAGATTCATTACAAGAAATGATGGACTTAAGAGATTGCTTAATCAATAAAATAAAGAGTGAAGAAAATAAGGTGTAAGTTCTCTTGGATAACTTAATAGAGAGAACTTACAATGAATATAGCTAACTCAAATAAGGTTTACTTAATTCTTAAAATACAAAATCAATAGCAGCGTTAATATTCGGCCAAAATTTGGTAGTGCTTTTTTAGTTTCATTTTTATGGCAAACCAAAAATAGACCCCCTGCGAAACAACATAAAGAGAGTTGCTGATAAAATCCGGTAAGGAACCCCCAACCCGAAAGCTATTAAAAACCGTGCCTTAGGTTCACAATACCAGCAATAATATTGAATCTCATGTTGTATTTCTTCTGAAAATTGCGGTAAACATTTGATATAATTTTGAATATTTTGATCTCTCGAATTTTATTTTCCACTCGCATCCTGAACGACGCCAGCTTTCTATTATGCTCCTTTTGCTCTTCCGTTAGTGGTTTTTTCCGGTACCTTTTATATGGAATTACTACATTACTTTGAACTTTTTGCCATCCTTGATAGCCGGAATCAGCGTGTTTTATACTATCTCTTGGCAGCATTTTCTCCTGTTTTCTTATGCGAAAATCGTGCATTCGACCTCGATGCGACTTTGAAACCGACAAGATTTGCCCACTTTCTTCGATTATAATTTCGGTTTTTATGGTCGTTGTTTTCTTTTTGCCAGAGTAACTTTTTTTACGTTTTTTGCTGTCTTTTGGTCGCTGTATCGGCTGTTCTGTAACATCTGCTAAAATCTTCAAAATCCTTTCGGGCGTTAAGGTTCTATCCTTTTTTATGGTAACTTTTTTTGCCAACAATGGCTCCATTTTCTTTAAAAGTCGGCAAATATTTGAGTTGTGCAAATTGAATAAAAATCCCAAAAATGGATGTGTTATGTACGTTCTATAATAAATGAGAACGCATAATATTTTGTCTTCTAGTGTTTCAACGTGCGATTTTCTTCCGTGACATTTCTTTTTTGCCTCCATTTTTTCCCACTCCGGCCTCACTTTTTCCACGATTTTTTCAAATTCTTCTGTTTTTAGACCCGTTAATTGTCTGAAAATATAAGGGGTTTTTGCCACTTTTGCATAATTTATTGCCATTTTCTCTCACTAAAACTCTCATTTTATACGCTTTTTTTTGTTTTTCTACTTTTTTCCTCGTTTTGCAGGGGGTCTCTCCTTTTTTTTCGTCTATCATCTTGAAAACTCGTTCCCGCAAATCTTCACTATATGGTCCTGGCATTTTTACCCTCTTTATTTATTCAATACACCTTTTTATCATATAATTTTATCCAAGTAAACCTTGTTTGAGTTAGCTATATTTGAGGAGCGTAGCTCAGCTGCGATAGCAAAATTGCCATCAGAAATTGAGTTTCGAAAGAGGTCTAAAGACTACTCACATAATATCGATATAAGATTTGCTGCTTTATGGTGTGAGGCTAGAGAAATATTGACAAATAACTGCATTTATGATAAAATTATAGAAATTCAACAAGGAGAGGGTAATTATGTTTAAAATATATAAATCTTTTAAATTCGTTAATACTTGTTTAATTTTATCTACAACTGTCTTACTGACTGGTTGCTTTGCAACGATATTTTCTAGTCCTACTCAAACAATTCAAATGCAAGTAGTAGATAGCCAGGGTGATTTGCTAGAAGGAGTAAAATGCATTGTAAGTCTTCCTGCATCTGGAGTGAGATATTCTCTTGCATCTAATCCTGGACAAGTAGCAGTTCAACGAGGATCAGGAACAGTATCTATTAATTGTAAAAAATCAGGTTATGAACAGTCAGATGTGATGGTAGGTGAAGATTTTAATAAAGTTACTTTATTAAACGTAGTGTGGCTGCCTGGTTTTGCTGTTGACGCAATTACTGGAGCTTATAAACAGTATCCATCACACTATATTATAACTATGAGAGAGTCTGGTTCATAAAATTGAATCCTAATTTGAATCAGGTATGAATGCAAGTTTACTATAAACATAAAAAATTAGTTTTTAATATAAAAAACAGTTGTGATTCTAGGAAAAATTTGCTAGCCTAGCATAAATCATTTTTTATAGAGGTGTTAATATGGTAGTTTTATCAATAGTACTATTTGTTTTTGTTTTTTTATTAAACACTACTGCTAAGTTATCGATTTGTTCTCTTATGTTTGTATTATCAGCACTAGTTACAAATGTAATAACAGACTTATACGGTAAAAGAAACGCTACTAACATTTTGCTTATATGTATAGCTATCAATATAGCTTTAATGTGGCAAAACCTTAGTTTCATGCTCATAGCTTCTTTTATTTCTCTATTCATATCACTTCATTTCAGTATGTCTACACTTGAGGCACTTCAGCCAATATTTAACCGTCAATTTCAAGTAGAAAATTTTGCTGCTTTGTTTAACTGCTCACTCATTGATAGCGGTATAATAACTATAAGCTTAATAAAACAAACCTCTTTTAATAATGCTTTAATTATAGGTTTGAAAGACTTTATTTTTAAGATATCTTATGCATCAGTAATATGTTTTGTCTTATTAATAATATTTGGTTTATTAAATCAGCGCAAATATTGCTTGAGATCAAATAAGTTGATTGCTTTTATTATCAATCATTAACAATAGAATTTTGAGAAAACAAATAAAATAAGAAAGAT